AGCCTTGTGGAAATGTACAACGGAATGTCAATGAAGTCAATAACACCTCCAAAGAGAAAAAGATGCTTTTACTTCTGCCTTTGTTTTTTTGTGGCGAGGAGCCCCATTCGTTCAGCAAATAAGTCTCCCAGGGAGCTGAGAAGGAACGTGGAGGGATGTGGGAGGGGCGCACACGGACAAGGCGGCGGTAGGCGAGAGGGCAAGCGAAAAAAAAGGAAAAAAGAAAAAGAAACGAGAGCAAAAGAAGAAATGCAAAATCAGGAGATAAGAAAATGGAGGGGAGGGGGATGTGACGAGCATTCGCAGACTGGTGGGGGCACGGCGTCTCCCATTGAACGCAGCGTGATCGCATGTCGTTACTGCGGGTCTTTGCCAGAGTCACATCTCCGATGTTTGTGGTGCACCTGCCTTTTGCTTCTGCTTCTTCTTTGCTGTGGCGGTAAACTGGCCTCTACAGGGAGTTCTCGCAACACAACAACAAGAAAGGAATTACTTCCACCAAGACCCGTGATTCAGATGGCCGACCAACTCTCCAACGAGCAGATCTCGGAGTTCAAGGAAGCCTTCTCGCTTTTTGACAAGGACGGCGATGGCACCATCACGACGAAGGAGCTCGGCACGGTGATGCGTTCGCTGGGCCAGAACCCGACGGAGGCGGAGCTGCAGGACATGATCAACGAGGTGGACCAGGACGGCAGCGGCACCATTGACTTCCCTGAGTTCCTTACGCTGATGGCACGCAAGATGCAGGACTCGGACTCGGAGGAGGAGATCAAGGAGGCGTTCCGCGTGTTTGACAAGGACGGCAACGGCTTCATCTCTGCTGCTGAGCTGCGCCACGTCATGACGAACCTCGGCGAGAAGCTGACGGACGAGGAGGTGGACGAGATGATCCGCGAGGCGGACGTGGACGGCGACGGCCAGATCAACTACGAGGAGTTTGTGAAGATGATGATGAGCAAGTGAGCGTGGCGCAGGGGTCTTGCAAGGGGTGGTGGTGTTCAGCCAACATCAGCAGCGAAGCGGAAGATGGGCGCCCTCTCTGCGTGTGTACAGCCTTGTGGAAATGTACAACGGAATGTCAATGAAGTCAATAACACCTCCAAAGAGAAAAAGATGCTTTTACTTCTGCCTTTGTTTTTTTGTGGCGAGGAGCCCCATTCGTTCAGCAAATAAGTCTCCCAGGGAGCTGAGAAGGAACGTGGAGGGATGTGGGAGGGGCGCACACGGACAAGGCGGCGGTAGGCGAGAGGGCAAGCGAAAAAAAAGGAAAAAAGAAAAAGAAACGAGAGCAAAAGAAGAAATGCAAAACCAGGAGATAAGAAAATGGAGGGGAGGGGGATGTGACGAACATTCGCAGACTGGTGGGGGCACGGCGTCTCCCATTGAACGCAGCGTGATCGCATGTCGTTACTGCGGGTCTTTGCCAGAGTCACATCTCCGATGTTTGTGGTGCACCTGCCTTTTGCTTCTGCTTCTTCTTTGCTGTGGCGGTAAACTGGCCTCT